AACCTGAGATCTTGTTACTCTCGCCTCTAGTAAGCATCCCATTGGCAGTAAATGGGTATATATAAGATTAAGAGATGAACATATGCCTCTATTGAAAGATACAAAGCCAGGTTGGTTGCTAACGGATATACCCAATAATCAAGAATTGATTTCTTAGATACATTCTCCCCGGTTGCTAAGCTCACTACTATTGGAACTCTTTTAGCCGTAGTTATTGCCAAATATTGGTATCTTCATCAACTAGATATCAATAATGCCTTTTTACATGGCGATTTAAATAAGAAGGTGTATATGAGTCTTCTACCAGGAATTCAAAGCACACAGTCTAATCAAGTTTACAAATTGAAAAAAAGCTTATATGGTCTTAAATAAGCTAACCGGCAATGGAATTTCAAGCTGACTGAAGCCTTGAAAAATCATGGGTTTGTGTAGGCTCATTCGGATTCTTCACTTTTCTTCAAGCATTCTGATTCTTATTGTTAGCAATGACTTGAATCAAAGTCAGACTGTTAAGAATTTTCTTCATGATGTTTTCAAGATTAAAGACCTTGGTGAGGCTAAATATTTTTTAGGGTTGGACATATTAAGGTCCCCTGCTGGTATTAATATCTGTCAACATAAATATACTCTGAATTTACTTCGAGACACTAGTTTTCTGGGCTGTAAACCAAGTTCTACACCTATGGTTCCTTCTACAAAGTTAATAAAACATACTAGTGTTTCTCTTACAGATCCTACTATGTATAGACAGCTTATTGATAGATTGCTTTACTTGACAAACACACGACTGGATATTTCTTATTCTATTCAGCAATTGTCTCAATTTTTGGATACTCCTACTCAAGCACACTTACAAGCTGCACATTGTGTTTTACAGTATCTAAAAGGAACACCAAGGCAAGGTTTTTTTAACCTAGTTCATAATACTCTTCATTTCAAAGCTTTTAGTGACTCAGATTGGACACTTATAGTGAATCCCGTAAAACTCTTACTGGATTTGCATTTTCTTAAGATGTTTTATATATTGGAGACTAAAAGCACAACGGTTCTGTCTCTCTGAGATGATACAGGCTCTACTATGAAACTGTGATTGCATGACTTCTATTTGCTCATGATTGCAGTTC